ATATGGCGACTTGACTTTTCCCATAATCATGTTGAGTTCATTTCAGTCTAGTGTTGCTGGGAAGTTATGTTGAAGCATATCATTTCGGGATATCTATAATCAGAGTCAAGCTCAGATGAGCCAGCGTCTCGTGCACATACTTTTGATAAACAGATATTCTGACGGATAGACAGCCATGTTGATAGTTATACATATGTACATACACATAAACACATGCATATATATATATATATATATATATATATATATATATATATATATATATATATATATATATATATATGCGTGTGTGTGTGCTGTATGTAAGGGCAGAGAAGTCATTTGAAACAAGTTTTTAAAGCATCAACTATTCTGCAGGATATAATCCATAACCAAATAACGTCCCAAACTTCTCTCGGCACCAACGGCTATAATCACTATTAAATGGATCGGTACTGAGGAGAAGCCGAAAAAGCCTGTTTGAGTTGAACTTCGGAAAAATAGTGAAGGGGTTTGAGGCTCCTCCAATTCCTCTTGGATCTTGGTCGAATTTCAGCCGCTTTTCAATTGCGCCAAAAATGACAAATGTCGAGTTCGTTTTTCTTTCCTATTGCCGTAAACAACGGCGTCAAATCCCAAAAGTTATTCCGATATATTGTTATTATTATCATTATTATTGTTATTATTATTATTATCATCATCATTTTTATTATCATTATGATTATTGTTATTATTATTATTATTATTATTATTATTATTATTATCATTTTTATCATTATTATAATTTCATTATCATTATTATTATCATCATTATCATTGTTATCCGTATTATTATTATTACTATTACAATATTATCATTATTATTACTGTTATTGTTTTATTTTTTATTGATATTATCATTATTATCAATATCATTGTTATCATTATTATTTCATTATCATTAGTATCATTTTCTCATAATTATTATTATTCTGTTATCGGTATCATTATTATCATCATTATTAATATTGTAATTATCAGTATTTTTAAACTAAAGTCATTATTAGTAGTAGTATTAGTATTATTATTATTAGTATTATCATTAACGTTATCATTGTCCTTATTATTATCATCATTATTGATATTATCCATATCACCATCACTATAATCATTATCATTTTAATCATCAAGAATGACATTACCATTTCTATGAATTTAGACACATAATGAGAATACTCTGAACGTCTTTAGACTGTCTTTTGAGAGAACTCCACAGCTGGAACCATTTCTTAATCTGATCACCTGTCTATATACTAACTGCTGGGTAAGAAGACATCTGCGATCTTGCATTAGACTGTAATGTTACATTCAATGAAGAGAAGAATCAGGTGTAACTGTAAAAATGTCTTTTTTTGTACATATGTTAACCGGGAAAAAAATTTGCTCACCATCATTGCCTGTGTAGTGTGGGTTAGTGGTGAGTGAGGTGCCTGTGATTACGCATTAGCAGGCACCTGTTCAAGATATGAAGACGCTGAGTGCTTTGCTTGATTCTAACATTGTTTGTTTCTGAAACTGACTGTTTTTTTGTACTAGGTTATGATGAGTTATACTAGGATTATGTATTGAGAATAGGTTAGTTTCAAAAATGTTCACATAGAGAATAATTTCTATTACTATTTTGGGATTACCAGTGTTGATGTCTATTGAGTTATATATATATATATATATATATATATATATATATATATATATATATATATATATATATACATATATATATATACATATATATATATATATATATATATATATATATATATATATTTATACATATATATATATATATATATATATATATATATATATAGAGAGAGAGAGAGAGAGAGAGAGAGAGAGAGAGAGAGAGAGAGAGAATACGCGTTAAGAAGATGTCAACATTAAAGTTGTTTAAATTCAATACCGTGGTGTAGATACTAAATAAATACAATATATTTAGCATGGTTACATATTGTAAGTGTAAAAGACGTATAATAAAAAATATGTAATCGTAGTTATATAGCTGAAGGAATACATACCTATAGCATATTACCCCATTCGCACAAGACGTGACCAGGTAGTACATTAACGCATAGATAACTGCTTACTAACCTGAGATCCCGCGCCCAAAGAGTTGCATCGAGAAATATAGGAATAAAAGCTCGAAGGTGAGACTGGACGAAATTATTCAGGCTCCAGTTCCTGCGATTAGGTTCGATCTGAGTGGTCAGTTAGGCTACAGTTTACATGGGGCTTTTCTGTATGAAGCTGAATTGTTTCATTGAAAATAATTCATATAGGTTATCTACCCCCCCCCCCCCCAAAAAAAAAAAAAAAAAAAAATCGGACTACGAATAGACGAAAAATGTTTTACTTCTGAAAAGAGAAAACCCTATACAACGGACTTCTAAAATACGTTGAAATCAGCTGAAACAAACACAAAGCAACATGACAGCACGGTGACTTGTGTCTCTGATCCTTCCTGAGCTGACAAGGGCTGAGT